GCTTTTTGGAAGTCTCGGAAAGAAAAAAACCTGCAGAAATTGGAAGGTTAAAAACGAACTTTCTTCAAAATATGCTCTATTTCAAACCCACATTCCTTCGCTCCAACCAAGTGCGTTCAAGCAGTCATAGAACGTTGAAGAGAAGATTGGCGCTACATCTAACTCAGGGCTAAGACGAAAACGAGCTTGGGCGCCGCGCAAAACCTGAGCAAGCGCGATATGGCAAGATTTCTTAAGGAAAAGAAGAACAAAAGGACCATGTGAATGATAACTGATAAAATAACATGATTTCAGTAATATCTGCATTATTTCCAAAAATCGTCCAAAATTTTCTGATCAATATTAAGTCAAAACCAAATACATTATCTAGCAATACCGTCAGAAGCAAATTGTCATTCCATAGCAAGGACTGCACATTTGGATGGGATCTCGTGATTAACAACTCTGGATCGGATGGATCACTAGAAAAAAACATCTTCAAAAAAGAGAAACTGCTAAAAAACTCTTACTCACTTGTAGAGGATAAAATATTTTTCGTGATTTTGTGGTACGCTTCCCATACTATAGATGTGATCCATAATCCTAAGCAATAGTTGACAGTAACCCTGTTCCAGATGTGTTACCATCGTTACCTATATTAGTGCAATAAAAAGACATAATACACCAACGAGCTAATCTTCCTTACCTCATCTTCATTTAATTCAACACCTCTGCCCATTGTTACGAATAGGTTGTTCCAAGCCAATTCAATCTCGATCCAGTCGAAGCTGCAGGAGTCAAACCACGCACAACTCATCTCGTAGAGAAGCTGGACACAGTCTCGTAGCGGTGTTGATCTATCCAAAAGACTTGCTATTGCTGCAAAGGATGATAGTGCAAAGTGAAGAAAATACATTTAAAAAATAGGACAAATGGTGCCCTTGAGCGCAAGCATTACAATTAGAGCTGCAATTACTGGTTTAAAGAAACATTTCCCAAAATGACGGGAGAAGAATTAAAAGCCGATACATTCGATATTTAACGTAATTTCGCATCACATACAAATTAAAAAGAATGCTGCACTTTCCTTGTGAGCAAGTAATGATGACCACTCATAAAACGCTTGATATGGAGGGTATGAGATGTGCAGTCAGAAGCATGAGAACATGTATATGTATAAGAACAAGAACTTCTTCAGTAAATAGAGCATCTTTGAAA